TTTTTATAAACTCCAAACTCTCGCAGCTTTTTCAGCTAAACGATTATTTACTTTTGGAAATCTAGGTCTTGATTGGCTACATGTAAGTAGATACCTACTTACTTTTAACTTGAGCTCCCAACCCAACTGGCAAAATCGTCAAATCCCTTGTTATTGAGAGGTTAATTATCAGATAAAAACTTGGATGACATGCCACGAATTGAAAAATATACCTTAAGCTTGCTAATGAGCTCTGCAGTTTTACTTCACAGGGGAACTGATTACTAAAAAAAAAAATCCATCAAAGTCGAGTAATCCATGCTAGCGTGAGTTGAGATATGTGCCTCAATTTTTCAAATGGGAATCCTAAATCTTTCATGTTGAATGAGTAGCTCTTCAGGAAACTAACGACTGAATTTCAAACATACTTCAAAACAAAATTAAGCCATTAAAATGATAAATTAGCCAAATGGTTTAAAATCATCTCGTGTAAAGTCGAGAGCATTCAGATATTATAATTATTGATTGATGATTACTAAAAAATGTTTTTTTTTTATAGTAGCTAGTGCGGAATTCTTTCGAATAAATCCTTCGAAAACGAAAAAGGACAATCGACAACCACTACCAGAGCTGCCTGTCATATGTAACCTTTCCTCAGAAATAAGTACCTACATGAATTCAAAATTATGATACTTCATTTCTTTGTTATCTTGGACTAGAGTTATTAGCTACGGCCTAGACAAAAGATCGGTGTGACAAATCTAATCGGAATATATTCCATTTGGAAATTTTATGGAAGGTACAAGGGCTAAGAGAAAAAATAGAGTTTTCTTCCACAATGCATATATTAGGCATTGTGGTGTGAGCCCAAAAAGCAACTGATGTCAGCCCATCGAAGTCCCACAAAATACAAACTGAAAATTACTTATATATTTTTTTATCAATATTTACCAACTACTTACTATTTATGAAAGTGAAGTACCTAACTATCGTAAGCTGTTATTATGTATTATAACTGAAATGTTGAAACTAACTGAAACAAGAAAATATATCTAAACGTTCAAAATAATGTCCGCTGCACTTTTATTGCGGTTGGATTGTATCTTCTTGGATGTTCGTCTTGGTTTTAATAAGAAAATTTGGAGCAATTTCTGTAAATATATTGAAATTTTCTGGAGTTAATGTTGAAAAATCATCTCATTCAATGATGAGCACTGGGGTCAGGAGTTGAGTCACTATTTTATTGTAGTTGTTATTTCTTCGAAGGTAAGATCCGCCTCAGTTAAAATTCGTCTTGAATGAAGTGTCATAGACGTTATCCAGCTTTCCAATTTTCAATTTGAAAATGTATCTATAAAATCATTGGTTAAATAATTATTTTTCCTAAGAACATTTTTTAATTAATTTTGAATCGTTCTTCTGTCATTGAACCATCATTTACGGGATTTTAGTGCTTATTTTTTTTTTATCATGAATTATTAGATAACTATTCAAGAAACAAGCCGACCCCGATATGCTTATAGCAATCCATCTAACCTGCAATACACCGCAACACTCTGTTTTTGGCGAAAGTTGATTCCACGCCCAAGAAGATCTTACTACTGCCTGCATCCTTAGAGATTCAGTATAAAACTCAAAGAATGTGTTCGAAATGTATCAGTTTTGTGAAATAAATCGAACAATAAACAACAATGGCTTTCAAAGTAGGCAGAATTTAATGTTTAACTAGAATCAAAGATCAATTACACAATTATTTTTTTATTTATTGAAATAACTAATACAGGTGCATAAGCCCGTTTAACATTCATGTCTAATATTTAGAACAACTGATTGAAAAAATTATGCTTTATTTTGAAACTTCAATTAAGTGATTGCAAAGAATCTTCATAATTTAAGATATTTGGTTTTAATTTTTTTCTGTTTCCTCATTCGTTTCTATTTCAGATCGTAATCCTTGCTGCTACCTTGGCTTTCGCCAACGCCGGATTCATCGGTCAACAAGCTAATTTGGCCTACGGTGCTCCAGCCTACACTTCCTACTCGTCTCCAACCGTTGTATCCAATCCTGCTGTGGTCTCCAGCTACGCCGCACCATACGCATACGCTGCTCCAGCTTATTCTGCTCAGTCAGCTTCAGCTTATGCTGCCTACTCTGCACCAGCTATTCAATACTCTGCTCCTGCTGTTCAATACTCTGCCCCAGCTGTCCAATACTCTACTCCAGCACTCCAATACTCTGCTCCCCTTGTAGCCAAGACATACGCTGCTGCTGCTCCAGTTGTAGCCTCTTACTCTGCTCCATCTCTATCCAAATCTGTTGTATCCACCTACACAGCACACTCTTCTCCAGCAGTAGTGTCTTCTTACTCTGCACCACTTGTAGCTAAAGCTGCCCCAGTAGCTTATGCTGCCGCTCCAGCGCTGTCTTACGCTGCACCAGCCTATGGTTACTCTGCTCCAGTTCTAGCTAAGACCTTTGAACAACCTTTGGTATCCAGCTATGCAGCCCCAGCTTGGTGAACGAGATTAGAATTAATTAATTGTAGAAATATAGTATTGTGATTTTAAATGCCATTGTGTAAATAAATACGTGGGATCGAGAATATCTGATTTTTATTAGTAGTAACTATTTCTAAAGGTAGCTTATAATAATTGTAGTACAGCCCTTGTAGGTCTTAGTACTGATTTATTATTCTAATTTTCAAATACTGCAAATTTTATGTAACTGTAAATATAAATTGTTGATAGCTCCAGTGAAATTTGTTTTGTCGTCGAATGTAGAGAAAGCATTGGTATGTATAACTACCACCAATAGATTCCCTTGTGTACCATTGATGGTGGTGCTTTTTTATTGATACCTAGCTCCAATAAAACTTCATGCAGCCAAAAGCCACTCCTCATTTTCAAGGAGGTGGATTACATTTTGCGTTATTGCACTGATATCACACAAGGGTATTTTTGTTTTTTTCTTGTAGACAGTTGATTTAGAGCTCTATCCAGAAGCTATGACTACTGTGAAAGTCTTCAGCAGAATATGGATCTAATCAGTGATTATTGGTGTTTGGTGATGGTATGTATCAATTATTATCCTTAGAAAGTGCAATGTGCAATGATTTTCAAAACTATTAGTCATCGCTATTAGTCAAAGGGGTTTCCTCGCAAGATTTCAACCTGTATCTTTTGAAACTAGACAATATTTTTGGATATTCTTACATTGTGTAAACTCCTCAATAATCAATTGAATTGTTCTAGTCTGCTCTGCCAAATTAATTTTTGTGTAGGTACCTTCCTATATTATGGATAGTCGACATAAGAGAAGAATGTATTTGCGTACTTCTAGGACTTGGATATCAGGTTCTCTCATGCTACTAGGAATATGACATTTACAATAGAGAGAAACTTTTTCTTTCTCGTTTGCCGTTTATTATTCGGGGTTGGATGAATAACATCATAGAAGTTTGTCGACGAGCTAGCAACAACTACTTCTAGGGCAAATACTCCTACCGGCATTGAATTACACTAACTGGTCTAAACGATTCTATCATCCATTATTAATTGATCTCTAAGTTTGTTATCTTCTTCTTCCAGTTCTTTCATGCATTCAGTCTATGAGTGCCTGCTTTGGCCTATTTGGTCGTCCATGTCCAACATAGGTACTTTCAAGCGTTTCGGTCTTATAATATAATTTCCTATTTTACTGTCTATATGTTATTGTAGATTTCCAAAGTTACTTATTTCAGCTTTTAGTGTTTGTAGTGATTAGGTAACTTGCTCGAAAATCTTCAGATCACTCTTTAATTTGCATCTTTTTGGCTTTACGTTTGGTTTGTGTCTAGTAAATGTTCATATTTAATTTATTTGTCGTTTGATTATTAAAGTAGTCTCTGTAGGTCGTCTTCTGAGTTAGCAGTAATTACATCAACGTCGTAAAAGCATTGAAGTAACAGTTTCTCACTCTGTATAGCCTGCTATTTTGGCAAGGTTTTGGTTTTCAACAATTTTATCCATGATCATGTTAAATATGGGAAGTAACGTCATTCCAGAAGTTAACTTCTAAGTTAACTGTCAAAATATTGTTATAATACCCGCCCGAAGTCGTATTGCATAACCTATTATACACCCCTGTTAATATGAGTTGCGGTTGCATCACTTTTATGTTGGTTTATTTATTTTTATATATTTTTATTTCTTATGTTCCTTTTCTTCTCTCATTAATAATTATAGTGACAGAACACATGTACGCTGAGTTCTATTGTATTTTTTTTTTTCGCGGATCTGTATTGCTTATAACAGATTCCCTCGAAAGTTGTTTTATGATGGATTTATTTTAAATATTGGAATTGGAATTGGTAGGCATTTTCTTTCTTTTTTAAATGTGTTAGAGTGTTTAAGGAATATATTAGGTGCTCGTTCTTTGTCCGTATTGCCTTCTTTCCCGATCAGCAGTAGTTCACTTTCCTTGGTTTCTTAACAAAGTTTTTTGAAATAAATGGTCCGTGGAATCCCTTATCCTTCTTCTTTCTCTAGTTTCCGTATCTCTTCCCATCTCTTTTGTGAATCTATTCTGGCCTTCACTTTACTTTGGTCTATTTTTTTATTGTCCAGTATTCTTGGTTTCTATTTCTTACTCAGTTGAATATGTATTCTGTATTTTTTCCTTGTATTCACATAATTCGTTTATTTAGACTGATCCATTGGGATATAATGTGTTTTTTGAGTTAACGATCCCACGACAATTTTCATTAAACGTATATTTTCATGAAATCATAATGACTGGCACGCCGTTCTTATAGGTAGCTGCTAAATACAAATCCATCTTCATATAATAAAGTAAAGCTGCAGAGTTTGTTTGAACGCGCTAGTCTATGGAACAATCAGTCAAATTTGAAAAATTATTTTTGCATTTGATAGTTTAATTGTTTAGGAAGGTTATGGGCTATTTAGTATCACGCTAAGACCTTTAGAAAACAAAGCCAACCGAGGTAAAATAGGCGCTTGCAAAGCCGCGACCAACAGCTAGTAGGTTATTATAAAAAGCAACATCAACTTTTAACATTTTTATAATTGTACTCAAATCTATTTACACAATGGCAGTTGAAGTAGCATAATTATATTTTCACAATAAATTAATTTATTCTAATCTCGTTTACCAAGCTGGGGCGCCATAGCTGGATACCAAAGGCTGGGCAATGGTCTTAGCTACAACTGGAGCGGAGTAACCATAGGCTGGTGCAGCGTAGGACAACGCTGGAGCGGCAGCATAAGCTACTGGGGCAGCTTTAGCTACAATTGGTGCAGAGTAAGAAGATACTACGGCTGGAGAAGAGTGTGCGGTGTAGGTAGATACAACAGATTTGGATAGAGATGGAGTAGAGTAGGAAGCTACAACTGGAGCTGCGTAGGTCTTGGCTACAAGAGGACTAGAGTATTGGACAGCTGGAGCAGAGTATTGAACAGCTGGGGCAGAGTATTGTACAGCTGGTGCAGAGTAGCCAGCATAGGCTGGAGCTGAGTAAGTAGAGTATGCTGGAGCAGCGTATGCGCTTACGGCTGGTGCGGTATAGCTGGAGATTACAGAAGGAGCAGCATAAGATTTAGATACAATTGGGGCGGCAGCGGCATAGGTGGCGACTGGGGATGGATGGCTTTGGTAGGTAGAGCTGACAGATTTTGATACAACAGCTGGGGCTGAGTAGGCAGCGTATGCTGGGGCAGAGTAGGCAGCGTAGGCTGGGGCACCGTAGGCCAAAGTATCTTGTTGACCGATAAATCCGGCGTTGGCGAAAGCCAAAGTGGCGGCAAGAATTACAATCTGGAAAAGAAAAAAATATATGAAGGATAAGAATTTTGAAGAATAATGTAACGTGTGTGTAATCAATTAAGTATATAACTATCTATCACAAAAAAAAAACAGAACTCAAAAAGACTTGAGCCATCCAAAGATGTCAAATTATTTTATGTACGACTTACACTGTAAGAGCTTATTACGTAACTCATTTTAACCTGTTTGAGTTACGTAATAAGTTGCATTATCGTGCTTAGTGATGTAATGAGCTCATTACATCACTCAGTGATATAATGAACTCTCATTACATCACTCAGTGATGTAATGAGCTCTCATTACATCACTCGGTGATGTAATGAGAGCTCATTACGTAACTCATTTTTATTGAAAAACTGCACTTTTTAAAATTCATTTATCAAAAATTATAAATATAATCTTTTGTGAAAAATTAAAACCATTTCGAATATATGAAAAAAGTCTGGGTCGTACATAAAATGTTGTATATCACTTCGTTGCTATTCAATTGACACATTACTCAATACTAAATTTTGCCTACTTTAAAAGCCATTGTTGTTCGTTGTTCGGCTATTTCACAAAACTGATATATCATCGAACAAATGCTCGCAATTTTATACTGAATCTGTAAGGATGCAGACTAGTAAAGTCTCCTTGGGCGTGGAATCAACTTTCGCCCAAAAAAGAGTGTTGCAGATTAGATGTATATGCAAATCAGGATCGACCCGTTTTTCAATTAGGTATAGTTAATAATGAATCATGATAACATCAATTGCACTAAAATGCTATAAATGATGGCCGGCTATTAATTTAATATTGTTAATTACGTGTGAAACGCTAGATTTTGGGAGAATTAGAAGTAGGCCAATGGCAGAAGAATGATTTGAAATAATTGAAACGTGATATATCAGGCTTCACCTAAAAAATGATTTCAAAAGTAATAAATACTTATTTTGTGATTTTATTGATATCTAAATTTAAAGGAAAATTGTATACTTAAGTATTACCTAATAGATAGTTATTGCAATAACTATGGGAGCAGGCGCGTGTCAAACGGTCCCGCAGACCCCGCCACGCGGGGGGGCCACCGCTAAGAAAAAGTAATACCTATGTATATCAAACAAACTCCAAAAATACAAATATGCACATTTAAACATCCCATAGGTTATTCCCCGTTTTAATGGGAATTTCCGGTTATCGGTTATTAGCGAGTCTTTGTTGTTTCACTTGTTACGTTTGAGTTTTGAGTTGATATTTAAAATATTAAAATGAGTAGTTCGCGCAAATATCTGAGTGGGGTTCAAAAAAGAAAACTAGTTGAAAAAAAGGGAGAGGAGATAATGATATTGTGTATAAATATTTACTAATGGGTTATTTTTGGAAAATTTAATAGTGACATAGGGGGCCTCAAAAAAAAGTTCGCGGGGGGGCCCCTAAAAAATTTGACACGCTACTGTATGGGAGGCAACTTCACACTTATGTTTGAAGAATAGATTGTCATTTAATCCTAGCGACACGGATTGAACGAGTCCACTAAACTGTCTAACAGCAACTTAAGTGGAACCTTATTGACTCTAGAAAATTCAGTTATGTGTCACTTTTATTTAAACTTATACAACAGAATCGCGTGAATGCTAGTTTAATTGGATCACAAAATCGAACGAATTCCTGAATATTCGCGCACGGGTTCTAATAGTGGCATCGGCTTCTTTGCACCAATGTAATTTTGGAACACTACCTCCTTCTCGAATGAATTTCAAGATAGGCCATGCAATGTCAATAATACACCACCTTCATCTTACCTTTGGGACCGCGTCGGATTCGATACACCACGTTGTTGAGTCTCTTAATAATCGTGTCGTATACTGGTGTTAGCTTTGGGGGAATCTATGCTTTTTTTTTTGGAAACCTTCAGAGTTTGTCTTAAAATCATATCCCGTTTCAATTCAGCCTCTTGCGTCCTTTTTCTAAGTAGGTATTTCATGGACGTTAAGCAATTTTTTCCGTAAATCATCAGCATAGTCTTCGGCTTCCATGTCGGCCACATCTGGTGACCTCGAAACTCTCAACTATGTCATCCGATTTTGAATCTAATTCTGAGGTTGTGGTATTCTCAATAGCAGTGCACAAAGCTTCTGGAATAATTGTGCCGTGGGTGAGGTTTCCAAATCTAGTAAAAACATTTGTTGATGATGACTCTCGCAACTGTTAGGAATGGTTTGGAATAGCTACTTGTTGAAATAGTCCAGGACAATCAAATCAAGATAGATTTGTTGCCACTGCGTGCTGGAGCAAATGGAGCAGCTATGCTTATTGCCATTCGTCCCAAGGATATTTTCACGCTGTAGGTATAACTGCTTCATTTGTCCCTTATATCGCGTTCCAGTACCTTGACTTGCTGCGCAAGTCACCAGGAACCTAACTAGGTATAAGATTTTGGAGGGGCTAAAACTCGCCGGAGTTGAAATTTTTTTCGATGTCACGCCCCTTCTTTTGGCCTTTTAACGGTATTCGTTTCGATATCGATATATTTTCAATTCGGCCTGCCGTAGACGTGTGGTGGTTCAGCCGTACCTACTATTAGAACGGATTTTTTCGCTTTTTTCGCTTTCGATATTAATTTTTTGTATCAAATATGACTAAGATTCATGGATAGATTCAGACATCAATCGGGTTGAATCATAATGGGTTTCTAACATTCTTACAATGACGATTCAACCATTCGAGTCATATTTTCAATTGAAAGTGTAAGATAGTCTAATACGGATCAAGAAAATAAAATCACAGTTGAGTCAATCAAGATTGCTCTCTCAGGAGTAGAAGCCCTGCAGCAAAGAAGAACTGAATTGAGACATGGAATAATCCGTGAAAGTGCGAACATGCTCTATCAGTTTGTTTACATAAAAGTTCATATCGCACATTGCCGACACCATATTTTGACATACTTTTAGCAGTTAATCCACTAAAATCGGTCACGAATCTTGTCCCAGGGCGAGTTATTCCTGTTGACTCCAAAGAGAGCTCTGGATGTCCCATTATAATATTAACTTCTCCTAAAACTTGGAAAACTTTTGTCCTGGGCATGACCAATTGCGTTTTCACCACCTCATCACCAACTGCGCTCTCCTAGGTTCGTTTTAGGTATCCATCGCCTCCAAACTTAGGCTTCTATAGATGAACTAATATTGATGAAAGTCTCATTTGATCGGGTGAAACAGGTAATTGTGATTCAAAATCGATTAACAGTCGCACCTGGACCAGGGGATTAGGCAGTGATCCCAGTTTACTTTTTTTAGCGTTAGTTACTCATTTTACTTTATTGTCAAAAATCTTTTAGGACTTTTATTTCACGTGTTTTTTCAACCCGTAGACATAAAAGTTGTTGGGATTGGTGAAATTTTTGACCGTCGCCGGACTTTTTTATAACGCGTACAGTTGTCGGTGAGACATAAGAAGATGGCCGATGGCGGTTTTTGAAATTTGATTGATATAGTTGCCTATAACTCCTAAATTATTTTCATTAAAGATAACGAAAACTGGGGAAGAGATAATCCAAATCTAGGAAAAAAGTTTTTCTAAAATGCTTAGGCAAGTAGTTGTGTCAAATTGATATGGGTAATCGTTCATGGTATATTAGCTACTTTGAAAATTAATTTTGGATAAGATATTAAATTTTATCACATTTTTTTTTACAAATTTTTTACCCGGTTAGTCGCTAACTTCCCTGTTCCGAATTCAAAAAAACCTGGGTTCAGTCGCTGGCCCCCCTGTTACATGTTCTACGGGTACTCAGTTGGGGTCCCGGTGCGATTGTTAAAAAAAATATATATATATAACATCATGAATAATTTTGAAGAAATCATCAAGATTTTGGTTTTTTGAAAATCTAAACTCACAGTGTCGGACTGGGGGTCATTTGGCCCACCGGGCAAATGGTGAAGTGGCCCACCCAACCCAAACCCCATTCAATAAAAGCAATAAAAAAAAACAAATATCAATTTTCCTAACCCCCATTATTTCGGAGCATGGAACATCGAAATAAAGGTAGGTGCACAAGGGGACAGGAATTAACAGAAATAAGTAGTGTCCATACACTTATGACACTCTAGCACTGGAACGGCGTGAAGTAATTGCAGAGTAGCAGAGTACACCTGGTATATCCCGTACTAGACTCTAAACTGGAACAAGATTATGCATGACGAGATTTCGATGCACCTCTTTTTGATTTTTTGGTATTGAAGGCAGGGCAGATTGCTGGACTACTGTTTGATGCTGCTTTTAACAGTGGGTCATTTCTTGCAATCGGAGATAGTTCTTCAGTTTCTAGAACCTCTATAAAAGTAGAATATGCAGAAGCATTCTCGAAACTTCCCTCGGGTTCCAAATAAATTTGACACATAATCTACATATACAAACCGTTGAACTTATGGAAAAATGTTCTTTTTAAAAGTTTTAGCATTTCATCTCTGCTATCACCCAAAATTATTTTCAAATATACAGGGTGTCTCAAAAAAGAATAATCACAAATTTTATGCGAGCGGCAAAAATACGAGGTGGCAAAGTAGACATTCGGAAAGAACACGTCTAAACCTATAAAATTTTCAAAACTCCCGAAAAACTTTCCAGATAAAACTACCAAATTACTATAATTTTCACCGTTTTTTGTGCAAAGTTAAGGTAAAATCTTAATATCTCAAAATATTAATGAGATAGATACGGCAAATATGATATTTTCTGAAAGAGGACATTTTACGGGGTGTTGTATTTGAAAAACTCATTCAAAATTGACGTGTTTAGACAAATATTTTGGACACCCTGTATACTTAAATCGAAAAATGAACATAATATAGGAGCAACTAGGCTAACATCAAATTACATGTAAATTTTCAAGGGAAATTGATGTACAGTGGCGGAGATATGACAATTTTAAAAAAGTATGTTTTGGTCAATTTTTTTCTTCGAAAAATCATAACTTGGCAACGCTGCATTCAATCCAAATACGATTTTAAAGTTGAATACAGAGCATATAGAGGCTTCATTTACCACACAAAAACATACCGTATTCTATTTGAGAAAAACATAAAATTTGTGATTACTCTTTTTTGAGACACCCTGTATACTTTAAAATAATTTTGGGTGATAGCAGAGATGAAATTCTATAACTTTTATACAGAACGTTTTTTCATAAGTTTAACGGTTTGGCTACTATTGAGCGAGGCGAGCTTGTTGGACTACCCTGTATAAAAACAAACAAATCAAAACCAAAACCAATGTGGCTTTTTTTACAAATTCACTACCCCTGTCTCTGTATTTTTGAAAATCAACAACGAGTACGTCAGTTGAATTCAAATTCACTGACTGATATGCGGCGGGCGATTTCTACGCGATGATTTCTAGCTTGAACTTTCTCAGCAGAGCAGAAGGGAGTTGATACTGATGATAGTTGATTTTCCATAAGGACAGTGGATTATGCAAAATAACGTATGATTTGAGGATAAATGCAGTGGAGAGTGGGATATTTTAACTTATTTTTATATGTATGTTCGAATGGCCCACCTGTTGAAGACGTCACCTGGCCCACCGGGATTCTGCCCGGTTGCCCGGTGGGCCAGTCTGACACTGTAAACTCATTGTACATCCTCAAGAGGGCAAAGTAGTTAACTCGAAGTATAGGATATTTTGTGACAATTTAAATTTGTATATGGATTTTTTTTTGCAGATTCGTTCACAGAATTAAAAAACCTTTCAAACAAGGCATCACATGACCTATAGAGCCATCTAAAATTTTGAGGTTTAGTTGCGCCTATATAACATTTGTACTCCAAATTTGAATTAAAATCTATAGGAGTTTTAACTTTCAATTTGAAATACAGAGCTTTAGTTGTTTTTACATTTTAAAAGGCTAGTTAAATTTGCCGTTAGGATGTTTCGTCTGGATTTTGTTTTTAAATATTATTAGAGAGGCCATAAATAGAAGGAAATTTGAAATATTTGTTAATAATTATTGTTGTGTAACATTTAATTTTTTTGATCTCACTTTTTTCCCTCAAATCTGAGCATTAAAAAACATTCTGGAAACTTGCCAGTTGATAGTTACTTTCTTTTTTCATAGTAAAATGTATTCTAGCAAAAAAGTTTTTTCCGGGCTATAATGCCGTGGTCCATTAGTATTTCTACCTAACGTTTCGTCTACTGCTGCGGTAGACATCTTCAGAGGCGGTGTGGTAGAGGACGAAGCGTTCTCTTCCGTGTTTCTCCGATGACTGAATTCGACGTTGAGCGAACTGCGTTATTTATATCCAGGGTTGTGGGCGTGGCTTGGATTACGGTATTTTCCTTGTCTCGTTCTCGGAAAGGAAGGGTCTTTGTTTTTCGGAGAACTGGCAACCAGCTTTTATTGAGGTTCATGCCCTCTTCTTTTCTGTTGAAGTTGTTGTGGTGTTTCTGTATCTCTATGGCTTCTCTGTGGAGCCTGGTGTAGAAATGTTTGGTTCTATCCAATGTTTGAGTCTGGTCGAAACGAATGATATGGTTTGTTTGTGTAAGCACGTGTTCGGCGATTGCTGATCTATCTATTTGTCCTTGCTGACAGTTTCTTTTGTGCTCTTTGACCCTGGTGTTGATAGAGCGTTTGGTTGTTCCTACATAGACAGATCCACAAGAGCAGGGAATTCTATAGACGCCAGCCGATTCAAGAGGTGCCCTAGGATCCTTGGCCGATCTTAGACTTTGCTGAATTGTTCTTGTGGGCTTGTAGATAGGCTTAACGTTGTGTCTTTCTAGCGTTCGTCCTATGCGATCTGTGACATTTTTGATATAGGGAAGAAAGGCTCTCCCTGCCACCTGTGCTGGTTCCTTGTTAGTTGTGCGCTGCTGCTTCGGTCTTATGGCTCTATTTATCTCCTGCTTGGAGTACCCATTTCCTTCAAGTGCCGATTTTAGGTTGTTGCATCTCGTCTTGAAGGTATCTGGGTTCACAAATCCGGATTGCTCTGTCAGATAGAGTTTTAATGACTCCTCTCTTTTGCCTAGGATGGTGATTAGATTCCTTGTTGAGGTATCTGTCCGTATGTGTCGGCTTCCTGTACACTCTGTGTCCCAGTTTACCTGAGGGTAATCTTTCTAAGAGGACGTCGAGGAATGCAATTTTGTTATCCTTCTCAACTTCCATCGTAAACTGTATCCTGGGTTCTATCGAGTTTAGATGATTAAGGAAGTTTTCGAGCTCTGCCTCTCCATGGTTCCAAACAACAAATGTGTCATCTACATAGCGAAACCAACAAGTAGGTTTCTTTGTAGCCGTTCGTAGTGCCATTTGTTCGAAGTGTTCCATGTAAAAGTTGGCGATAACCGGGTTGAGTGGACTTCCCATTGCGACTCCATCTGTCTGCTCAAAGAATTCATTTTGCCATTGAAAGTACGTAGTCGTCAGACAGTGGTGAAATAAGTTGTTGATTTCTTCCGGAAAAACATCTTTCAGATACTCTAAGGCCTGATTTACTGGTACCTTAGTAAACAATGAGACGACATCAAAACTAACCAGAATGTCGTTTGGTAATAGAGTGATATCACTGATCTTTTTGATGAAATGAGTTGAGTCCTTGACATAAGAGCTGGATTGGCCAATCCGTGGTTGAAGGAGGGTGGTGAGGTATTTGGCTATGCTGTATGTGGGCGAATCTATTGCACTTACAATGGGCCTGAGTGGGTTGCCTGTTTTGTGAATCTTAGGAAGCCCATATATTCTAGGTGGTAAGGCCTCAGATTTGATGAGTTTCCTTATGTTTTCCGGCTCCAACGGTAGTGCTCGGATGAGTTGATTGGTTTTTCGCAATATAGAAGCAGTGGGATTACGTTTCAGCTTTCTGTAGGTGGAGGGGTCTAGAAGCCTGGATATAAATAACGCAGTTCCCTCAACGTCGAATTCAGTCATCGGAGAAACACGGAAGAGAACGCTTCGTCCTCTACCACACCGCCTCTGAAGATGTCTACCGCAGCAGTAGACGAAACGTTAGGTAGAAATACTAATGGACCACGGCATTATAGCCCGGAAAAAACTTTTTTGCTAGATTTGACCGGCCGTGAAAGCCTTCATTCTTTATTCAAAATGTATTCTGTAATGGTGAATTTTGTTAGGATAGATAAGACGGTTAGGCACTATCATTTTTACAGGATAAAATAGTGCATTATCCACATAAAATTTAATAAACCCAAGTTAAAAAGGAGGTTTTGGACTGCCTCAGATATTAGTTCGTTTATAACCCATGTTAGCCAACACTGGGCTCGCCAGTTTTTCGATCGTAACGACATCATTTCACTTCCACATTTCAAGCTATTTATATTGTTTAATTGAGACAGATTGGGTGTACCTATCGGTACCCAGTCTTATTTTTAGATTCTGGATTCCTAAATATACCTAACCTTGTTTAGGTTTATTCATGTATTTGCGAGTTTGGGTTCGTTTCGGGATAGTACCACACCACGAACTATTCCGAAACTCTCGATTATCGTTCAAGATTATTGTGAATGATGAAAACCTTGAAAAGCCTCTTATTATAATTATTTCAATCAGTTGTTTGTATCAGTTACCGGTGTCCTTAGGTAATATTGAAGAAGAATTAAACCATATTTTCAAAAATGTTCTCGAATTTATTTACACAATGGTATTTAAAATAGCATAATTATATTTTTACAATAAATTAATTTATTCTAATCTCGTTTACCAAGCTGGGGCAGCATAGCTGGATACCAAAGGCTGGGCAATGGTCTTAGCTACAACTGGAGCGGAGTAACCATAGGCTGGTGCAGCGTAAGACAACGCTGGAGCGGCAGCATAAGCTACTGGGGCAGCTTTAGCTACAATTGGTGCAGAGTAAGAAGATACTACGGCTGGAGAAGAGTGAGCGGTGTAGGTAGATACAACAGATTTGGATAGAGATGGAGCAGAGTAGGAAGCTACAACTGGAGCAGCAGCAGCGTAGGTTTTGGCTACAAGAGGAGTTGAGTATTGGACAGCTGGAGCAGAGTATTGAACAGCTGGAGCAGAGTATTGAAGAGCTGGAGCAGAGTATTGAACAGCTGGTGCAGAGTAGGCAGCATAGGCGGGAGCTGAGTAAGTAGAGTATGCTGGAGCAGCGTATGCGCTTACGGCTGGTGCGGCGTAGCTGGAAATTACAGAAGGAGCAGCATAAGACTTAGTTACAATAGGGGCAGCAGCGGCATAGGTGGCAACTGGGGATGGATGGCTTTGGTAGGTAGAGCTGACAGATTTTGATACAACAGCTGGTGATGAGTAGGCAGCGTATGCTGGGGCAGAATAGGCAGCGTAGGCTGCTGGGGCACCGTAGGCCAAAGCTTGTTGGCCGATGAATCCGGCGTTGGCGAAAGCCAAAGTGGCGGCAAGGATTACAATCTGAAAAAAATATATGATTATGAATTTTGAAAAATAATATAATTAGTGGTTAATCAGTCAAATACCTATCTAGATACAAAAAAAAAATAGAATAGACTATCCAAAGATGTTAAATTGTTTTACTTATATTACTTGGTAACTATTTAGTTTTCATCTATTATTACTTAATATTAAATTGTGCCTACTTTAAAAGCCATTGTTGTTTGTTGTTCGGTCTATTTTACAAAACTGATAATGATTCGAACAAATGCTCACAATTTTATACTGAATCTGTAAGGATGCAGACTGTATCAATGTCTCCTTGGGCGTGGAATCAACTTTCGCCTAAAAAAGAGTGTTGCAGGTTAGATGTGATGTATACGCAAATCAGGGTCGACTCGTTTTTTAGATAGTTAATGAATCTTGATAATATTCTTATTGCACTAAAATCCTGTTAACGATGACCGGCTATAAAGTTAATGAGGTCAATTACTCGTAAAATGCTGGCTTGTGGACGATTCATGTATAAAGCCGATCAGTGGCAGGAGAACGATCTTGAATAATTTATTATCAAGTATCATCCGAACTACTTAGGCTATGGTCCGAATATACCCAAACGTTAACCAAAGTAACCGAATCGGTTGACAGATGGTTACTGAAAACACTGATCCGACATCCAACATCCGTTGACCGGTAACTATTTTGACATTTGGTTAACCAGATTTTAGAAAATCAAGGTCCAAAAGTAACTATTTTTCCAGGTACCAGAGTAATTTGATTACTTTCGGACCCTGAAACCACAACCCCGAACCCCGGTTATATTCGGACTACACCCTAAATCAGCGATTTTATGGATTCATTTAAAAAATATGTTGTCGATATATTTGGAAATGGCCTAATATAATATTTCAGAACGCGCTTAAGAAAAATGTAAAGTAACTGGTAAGAGATATCGTTGACTCCTACTGCAATAAATCAACTACCTGGTTTAAGCCCATTGTGTAGGTCCCAATATCTTTAAACTTTAATAAGTGGGCGCTGGAACGGACTTTTGTCTTATATGTAAAAAGTATATGGATTTTTTTTGAATTATCTGTTAAAGAGAGAAATTTGAAAAAAAAAAAACAAAAATATAAAAAATATACTTATTTCATTATTAAAAAATTCTATACAAATATGTTAGGTACCTATTCTATATTCAGTTGTCTCACTATCACTATTTTCATCTAAACGTAAATTAATTATTAATGGCTTAACACTATAACTGAGAAAAATAAGAGTTTTCTACCTCAATAATAATAAAATAAATAATAAATAAAATAAAATCTCTATTTCATATGTCCGTATTACATCTGTGTAAAACTGGCTAGGGTTCAATTTATATGGTATTACTTACAAACGTTGCTTACGTTGTTATAATTTTCTGGAATTGTCGGAAATGAAACATTTTTTTTTTTTTTTAATCAAATGGCTTATTTCAAATAGAATACACCTGTATGTAACTTTAACTCTCATTGGAAAGCCTGATCCTAACCTGATGTATAATTTATTATAATTTTTCGGAATATTCCACCATCATTGTTTTATAAGAGTGTACGAAAAGTAACGGGACGGTGAATTATTATCTCTAGAAGAATTGGTGCAATTTCAACAAAATTTCTATATTTCTGTTACATACACTGTAAAGTTTCAATATAGAGCAAAATTCATCAACGTATCTGAATGATAGTTTCCAGGACAAAAACAACTCATTTACATTTTTAGTGGATATCAAAAGTCAATAAAAACTTGACGGAATATCTAGTGAGAACAAATGAGATTAATTTTTTTTTTTGTCATTTCAGATTGGGTATCATTTGGGAGTGTTCTTCCGGTAGTTTTTTTTTTAATTCGCAAACGAGAAACACCTTGTAGTGGCCTTTAAAATCTTATTAAAATGAAATTATTAATGAACTGATTATCATTTTTCATGAGTAGAGGCGATTATACTTTCATTATGTAATTTTATTGGGAGCATTTATTGAATTTTTATTAACTAACTAATGATAGAAATTATAACGGGTATGAAATAATAATCTTGACTCAACATATTTCGAAGCAAGTCTATTATATACTCCTGGATAAAATTATCGCACCACCCCTTATGGTGCTTATGTGCAGTGGTGGTGCGATAATTTTGTCCAGGAGTATATTAGCCCCTATCCTCAATTAAACTGGCATCCAATTTACGAAACTCGGGTATAATTTGTTCCAAGTGAAATTGGGTAACCTCAATTTTCTTCCACTCCAAATTTCTCTACTCCAACAGTCTGTGTATGTCTATAATGTACTAAATTTATTGGTGAGACTGTCGTAAGTTGGTTTCGAACTAAATAATGCAGTCGCTAACTGCATCATGGAATATTAAATTTACGTAATTCGTAAAAGTCTGGGTGTTGGTTCTGTTCATACTGAAATTAATTTGTTCTTAAATTTTAAATTACATATTCAATAATAGGTTCAAAAATTTATGTTATTGTTATTACTGTGCCAGGCGTCTCTGTGCGTCTCTTAGAATTCAATTTATAACAGGATGGTTTTGTTCCAAAATAACTCATAACTTTTCTCTACCAGACTACCAATTCGAAGAATTCTTACAATTAATAATTTTTTGGACATAAATATAAGTTACTCAAATTTTATTTGATTTTGTACTGGACATCAAATATTTTTAAAGCAAATGAAACATCTATTTGGGACATAATTATGTCATATTAAATATAAATATTTGAATTACCTTTTGTGGCCTACCTACATACCACAATATATAATTTGTCCCTAATACGCATATCTCTAAATCTAATTCTTTTAAAAAGTCACTTGCTTTTTTAACAAACCAGATTTTAATCCGCAGATTTCTTAATAACTAGCTAATAGAATTATTGCATGAAACTGTAACACAGGGATTAACCTAGACCTTTCAATTCGTCAACTACATCAACTATTAAGTAATTTTACACATGAAGAATCTCGATAGTTGTTTATCTTTTTTAAGCGAAAGTGATTTTGTTGCTATAATATGTATATGAGCTTTAATGCAAATGGTATAACAGCGTTGAGTTGATTTTATAGTATTATCAATTTGCAATATTGATTGGATAAAAAAGAGCTTAAAATAGCAATATACCAGTGTCCCCCATAATGTTCGCTACATATGGGGAAATTCTTTATTTGTAGGATATGGATTTTTTTCTTATGTGAGCTTGATCCTGCATGTCCGATAACCTAAAAGTACATTTTGATATTAGTCACGTGATCACTGTTGTGGCGACAAATTCGAAAATTTAGATATGGAAACGCGAAAAGTAGGGTTAGATGGCAAAATTTCGAAAAAAGTTATTTGAAAAAAGTGATTAGAACGATGTTTTAGGTCTGTCTGCGAAATGTGGAGAAAAAGCAACAGGAAATTACTTGTTTTTTGCAATGGATCTTTATCAAATAATATTATATAGTTTTTATTATTGAAATAAATAGTCCAAGTACCTCAATGTTTAATGTGTATTGGTCGGGGGGGTTCGAGCTAGTTCCATATCGGGTTAAAACTGAGCGGAGCGAATACGAATCCCAGGGAAAAGGGGGTGTCCTTGGCGGATTTTGCACAGGAAGCCGATAGGGGCATTGCACCCCTTAAATCGCGAGCATCCCCACATTTCCAAGACCGCAAGATATCCCGGCAATGATCGGTATGTGCTGCCACTGGCTGCATCCTTCACGTGGTGACCCTGTTTGAAAACTAAATCTTGCGGATCTAGAGCGGAAACTCGACAAACATTTCCCCAGCCCAACTGTCGTGTCGTCGTTAAGGGCCTGCACTGGGGGTAACGGCGCCGGTTTGTTGGGCTACTACGGTTGCACTCAAACCGTCAAACCGTCAAACCAACATAGGTGCTGATTGTGGTCATGTCTCGCAGGCACCTATGAGTGGGGGGGCCTTGGCTTAACCGCCCGAGCCGCGTGGATGAAGCACCACTATAAAAACTTCCTCATTCCCAAGGTATCGTGCGCGCTTAAGGGATGAATGGCTAGAGAGCATTCTGGTCCTTAGCGGCAAACCTCGGGGAACCGGGCGCACCCCGTTGTATCAATGCCTTCCAGCTGTGCAGGGCAGCAGCTGGTGACAACCAGACCTCATATACTCATGGCAATCAAAATAAATTCTGAAAACCCAAATAAAAAAACCAAGTGTAAAAACGAGTCGCAAGACCTGCCCGACACAAAAAACGAGGGAACTCCAGCAGGGCCCTCAAATGTAGCCTCGACTGAACAGGGAACCTCATAGGGACCCAGCTCAGACAGGCTAAGGGATGCTCCTCCACGAGACAAGGAACCGAAAGGGACCTTAGACGTGGAGGGCCTCTCGAAGAGCCTAGAAAAGATCAGGGTAAAAAGGTCCAACATATGTGGGGCTGAATGCAGAAGACGGAGGAAGGCAAAGTCGCATGAGGCTGCCCAGCAAGACCCCGTCTCAAAGCCGGTATCCGGAGGCTCCCATACAGGTGCCTCAGGATCGCAGCCCAAGAAAGGTGGGGAGGTTAATCAGGGCAACAAGCCTGGTGCACAGAGGCCGGCCAAAGGCAATCCATCACCCCACAATGTACCCAAGGGGCCCCTAACCAACAAAAGGTTGAGGACCCTAGGTGCTACACGCCACACCACCTGATCACAGCAGCGAATCGAGCTTCAAGAGAATGGTTGCTCAGGAAATTACTCAATCTAAGACCCTGGGGCAACGACGTCCAACTTATTGCGGTGGATCCAGCCAGGTACAGGCTCAAAAAGCCCTGGGCTCGAGTGTACCCGCTGGAGAGAGTGGGAAAGACGAGAGGAACCGAACGGTCTCCGGCTCGTCGTGAGCATGGATGATGCATCCGTTGCCCACCTTGCTAGGGTTAACACTCAGCTCTACTACAGTGCTACGAGGGCTCAGGTGACGATGAAGCCCTCTGGCCAGCAGGGGATCCCTGAGATTCTGACAGAAGGGGCACCCCCAGACAAGGAGCCTGATCACGAACAGGCAATGGACCTGAATCAGGAACCTGAAGGGGGAGAGCCCAAGAACGACCCCGATACCGTCAACCAGGAGGACGGTAGCTCAGGATGATGCCTGTAAATTTTTTACAGGCCAACCTGCAGCACGGGAGGGCTCCTTCGGCACTCTTGTGTAGGAAAATGGCTATTGCCAACACATGCGTAGGTCCGATCCAAGAACTCTGGGTATATAAGGGTGCGATCAGAGGCCTGGGAGGAGATGGAGGAACGGCCTACTACTGCACCTCCACGGAAAAACCCAGGGCCTGCATCTACGCTAAAGGCGTGGAGGTGCTGCCTATGCCTATTAATTATTTATCAATAAATATGTATGTTCGTATCCCTC